GGCGCACTTGTTTTTAGGCATAAAAGGTATTGTATCCGCAACCTTCTAGGTAAACTCATAAGGGATTGGATGCCAGCCCCGAAGASAGTGGTGAGACAGAGGCGAGAGGAGAGTGTGTAAAATCATGATTGGTCAGGGGTGCGACTTACGGTTTACTGTATAAAAATGTGGTGGAATCTGCAATAAACGGAGCATTGACTTAATCTCTGTGAGACTGCCTCTTTGACTCCAGACACTGCCTCGCATCATCTGGTGACCCCGACGTGATCGCCCTCAGTCGAGCACAGAAAATGGGCTGCTGAAGGCTTGCTTACTTCCCGGCTGATAGACGTGGAACGGGTAAGAAGAGCCAAGTGGGAGTCGGACAGATTTGTTTGCGGCAGCAGAGGGCTGAGAAAGAGTTGCTGACCGCGGTAGGAAGGGTCGCTACCTTCCCCCTGTCACCCACTGCAAAGAAAAATGGAGGTCGAGTTTGCAGCAGCAACGAAACTGCTATTAGGTACACTCGCCAGGCGAGGGGAAGCAGTTTCTGAGAAAACATTGGATAAGCTCTTTTTGTGGGCACAAGATCAAGGGTTCTTTACTATCCCCCCTCTTCTGTTTGATAGCCTTGAATGGCGAAAGTTGGGGGASAAGTTGTGGGACTTAACAATATCTAAGAAAGAAAAAGGGATATCAACATTTGGTCCCACGTGGAAGACTGTGACTGACGTGTTGAGCAATATGAAGGCTCAATCTAGTGTCGCGGCCATGGCAGTGCAAACGATTGCAGCTCCTGCAGCTGTGGCACCGCCACAGAAGACAGGAGTGCTGGAGTCGTTTTTTGGACTGGGCAAGGCGAAGCCGTTGGTCATTAGCGGTACTACCGAGAAGGTGGCGAGCTCAGCTCAAGAGGTAGCACAAAGAGCAGAAGCAGAGGCGGATTCGGAGCAAACGGAAGTTGCCTGGTCAGCTCCGCCGGCCGAACTAACACCTTCCGCGGAAGGGAAGTCGGCCCGCAGTAGAAAGGCGGAGTCGGTGGGAGGGCCCAGTTGCCGCCCCCGGAGGACTTTGCATGCCCCCTTTGAGAAGGCGGTACAAATGGTTAAGCCGGAGGAGGCACCCCTCCCGGAAGGGGAGTCATCGGAGAAGGAGTCATCTGGCGGTGTAACCGGGCTGAATGAATCGCTGACACCCTTGCCAAACTTCACACAGGCGTTGAGTGACCTTGAGAGCAGAATAAGCGACAAGTTGTCATTGTTAGGAGAACAGCTKAGGAGACCTTCAGAGCAACTTGGGACTAACAGTAGGCTGGAGTCGTCGCTCCAAAGTGGTGGTTTGAGGCAAAGGGGGTCTCCTAACAGATGGTCGGGAGTCATCAGAGATGCTATATTAGAAGGCCAATGGGAGCTGGCGGGAGCCTTGGCCTGCCCAGCTATGATACAGCCGGGTCCCGCTGGGCCGCAAGCTCAGTACAAACAGCATGATTGGAAATTGCTGCAGCAGG